ACGTGTCCCTGATCATCAAAAAACCGAGTTAACAACGTGCTCAAATGGTGTGGAGATGATTTTGAGCTTTCCTTCCTTCCTTTGATATATAATTCTGATTTCAATCAGTCAATCATCAAAAAACTGATTTGTTGTAATGATCTTGGGGAAAGGAGGTAATTGCAACCATGTAGGACCGCATTTTATCGGCACTCTTCCTAATGATGGAACCGCAATATTTATTATCATTATCGAGTATTCTAGCAATTTACTACCTGTCGTCGAAGTGGTCGCAATGGCATAATATGCTATATCAGGACAAATATGTAATTGAAATAGTCGAAAAATCTGCATCCAAAATTTATATAGGACGACAGACATTCATTGAAGAGAAGATGTCACCATAAGGAGATATATGGACATGGCCAATGTGCTTGTTGGTTCATTATCATCTTTAGAGATACCATCATTGGACAGCTTTCTTCATCAACAAATATATCACAGTGCTAATATATGAGTACGAAATAACTGCGAAACCGTTTCACTGTAATCTTTGGCAATGAAGTTCCTAGAATGAATGCCGCAGTGATCATTTTCATATCTTTCGTGGGCCATTTATCTACTAAAAACTCATTAGATTGATATGACCGAATTGATAATATGGAACATCAGGTGGAATAATTTTCTCTTGAGTCGATGAGATTTCAAAATTATAATTTTTACTTAACTTGTAATAGCTGGCGGCAAATTACGACCGTCATCCGATAACGAAATGACAAATCTCCTAGAGGCATGTGAGAAAAATATATTTCATCAAACGGCACCTTCTCTATAATACAGGCCATCCAATGAATGCCCATTTCATACCTAAGAAAGATTCGGATGTCCATGGACAAGAAATAAACATCCATCGGAAGAACCAAAATGCCTATCCAATGGATACCAATAAAAAAGTTCTGGATATCCATCGGCATGAATTGTACATCCATCAGATAAACATGAATGCTCATCCAATGTATAATTAGTGACACCTTTTCTATCGATATCCATAATGTATCTAGTAGACTGAAAGAATGCATATGACATCGCCTAGACCAAATGACTGTTGTTTCCGGAATGTCATTGGTTGTCAAGTCGTGGACAGCTGGAAATCTGAAGGGTATCTCCCATACAGTAATGAATTTGCGCCTTCGAAGTGCCCACCTGATGTCAGGTGTATATATTTGATAATTTCATTTCATCATCTGAATAATCTGAGACCTATTGGTCCCAAAAGACGGATTGTGATAGTAAATATCCAAGATAGTGACGAATAGAGTTTCATGTCTGATTGTAAGATGTTTCGTGTTCAACGAGCAAAGAACTATTTGGACCAAATTATGAGAAAATATATTCAAACACATAGGGGGAGAGTTCGATTCATATTGTTCAAAACGTATACATGAAGAGGTCAATTCATTTACATTGTTGTACAATTGGTGAACTGTAGTTGTCCAATTCATATCTAGTAGTTTCAGAATTTTTGTCTTATAGGTATACAATTCATCACAGTAGTTTCACAGTAGATATACAGGATGGACATCCAATGGACATCCAAACTTGCGGCCTATGGATTTACAATGAATGTCAATTAGATAGAATCTGGACATTTTGAACCATCCAATATACCGGGTGGCTACGGAAGTATTGCCTACGGAATATCTCAGTTATTGTATGAAGTAGCTTTGTGAAATTTGAAGCTTCGATATAATGACATAAGAGCTAGAATTTGAGCATATTGACATGTCGAAGTTAACTTCTGGTCTGACCGGAAGTAACATCAACTTTCTTATTTTAAATGGAAACCCTATTTTTTTTTTCGCCTCAAATTCTAGCTCTTATGTCATTATATCGAGGCTCCAAATTTCACAAACCTACTTCATACAATAACTGAGATATTCCGTAGGCAATACTTCCGTAGCCACCCGGTATATCCATGTCCATGTATGTCTATTCAATGGACATCCATCGGATAGTTTCACTTAACTGATCAAAATGATTGGGAAATTCCACCTGCAACCCTACCTGTGTTACCCCTTAAGTTGGCTCAAATTCTCAGCACAACGATTTCTTTTACTTCCATGACGTGTTAAGGAGTTGAAACTGAATGCAAACACACGGAGAAAATGCCCCTATAAGTTTATGGTGGAGCGCTAATATTTCCGAGAACATTTTGCCCCTGTCTGAAGAAGAACAAGTTTATCGAACCGATGGTTCATCAGATATCTCCAAATATGAGCTAAATATTATCTGCCCCTATTCGCGAAGAGGGGATCATTTTCTTAAAACTCATTATCACGTGACGAAAGTCATTGCGAAATGACAGCAGCACAAAAATCTGCGCCAAAGATTTGACCCAGATTAAGGGAATAGCATAATTTCGATTTCGCACAGGAAAGTGCCATTTTCCATTCATTTATCCTAGAATATAGGCTGTCAGAGGTGCCGTTTGATACAATACATGCGTTTGTGACATGTCATATCGTTATCCGATGACGGTAGAAATTTGCAGATTGTTCTCCTTCTATTGTCAAAATGTCGCGCAACTTGACAAATACATATCAATACCGAACCATATTACATTAGTATTGAAGACTTGCATCATTATGAATAGTCAGACGCAATAATGTACTATTTATGTAATAAAAATATACCCTCAGTCTGGCAACATCGCTGGACGCACTAATGTATATACAGGACGCAATAAAGATCGTTGAATGAACCCCAAATATATGGCTGGATGCAATAACATTCGTGAAATTGAATGACGCAATAAGGTACGCTGAATGAAAATAAATCGTATATCTTAAAAATAAAGATAGAGCAATTCTGAATAGAGGTAGATGCTGGAAATTATGTGAGGAGAGATATACTTCGACTAGTTTCTATCCAACCTTATTCTTTCTGGTGGACGCAATAAGTATGGATTATGAAAAGACGCAACAAAGATAGTAGGATGTATATATATATATATATATATATATATATATATATATATATATATATATACTTCGTTCAGTTTTTAAGATTTTCCTAATTTTGTCTAATTTTATGATAGCATATACATTTTCTGTTGGGGTAAGGAGTTCCATATTGAACAAGGTTTTGATAACTTTATTTTGGAGTGTCTGTGCCTTATTGAAATTAGTTTCACCACATGAGCCCCGAATAATTATTTGGTATCTAAAGATACTGAGGAAATATGCATTGTAGATAAGCTTGTTAGTATTTATGTGTAGGAACTTTTTAATCCTGAATAAAGCTCCCATCATTTGTGTTAATTGTTTATGAATTTTGTCAACCATTAGACTCAGGTATTCAGTATGATCCACTTCCATTAATACATAGTCTCCTATTTTTATGATCAATCATTCTTCTCTCATATTTATTTGTTTGAAACACATGAATACTGTTTTTGTTTCATTAATTTTCAGGTTGCTTGTTAAAATCCATTGTTTATTATTTTTCAGATCCTTATTTATTTTTTGCTCCAATTCTTCATACTTCCTGTGGGTGTATACCAATATGGTGTCAATATCTAGCTTCCAGTTTGCTCTCCTTAAGGCTTAAGACATGTAGTGAGTATAAGAGGGGCCCAATACTGATCCTTGTGGTACACCACAGTTTATTTTTCTCTAGTGCTTTCTTTCCCAGCAATTGATACAAATTGTACTCTGTCTAGTAGGTAAGTCTTTATGAGTAGGTACTCCCTCTTATACTCATGAGTTCAAGTTTGTTAAGAAGTATTTGATGATCAACTACATCAAATGCTTTTTTAAGATTAACGAAAATCATGACCACATAATGCTTAGAACCCACATATTTCAATATGTAGTTTATAAAATCCTTCCTATATATCAAAATCAAAGCTGTGGAGCTCCCACTCATATATCGTGGGCGTACAAGCAGAATCATGTAAGTCCAGAAAATGATATAAGGAGAAAAACGCAATTGAAAATTCGAATCAACCTGTAAAATTATAACGAAATTGACTGAAGTGGATTGAAGTGGATTTTCATTGACTATATCTCTGGAAACAAACGCAAAATGGACTTGAATGTTCATTTGCCTGAAGCGTTACGCTAATATGGACTAATGTGTGATAAATTCCTCATTTCCGAAAAAAAATGACTTACAGGGTTCTGCTTGTACGTCCACGATATGTTCACATGAACTTTTCAGCTTGAAGATATGTTTCAAGCTATTGAAGTCCTGCTAAAAAAAACTGACTCACCCTATATAACACATAACATGTTGATTCATTCTGTAATATGTTTCAGTGATTGTTTGTGTATTTGAGTCATATTGAATAAATACAGTTTTTGACAAAATGACAAATGACAAGAAGTATTAGTCCAGGGCCCCTCAAATCAAGCCTCAAACTCATGGTTTACCCCTGAATAAAGTATAATAAACTAAACTAGCATTTGGTTCTTGGTTGGAAATAATGATTATTTCGAGGATTATTTCCATCAATGTGCACTGGGGCAAAGTGGGGCAGCTTGTTATTTTCTATAACAAATAGTGCAAATTCTACTACCAGTTACAGCTCACTGAAAGAACTGGGAAAGAAATGAAGAATAGATGAGATAATAGATACCCAACTTGTTTTCATTCCTATGCTATTTATTGCCATTTATTTTCAGCTATTTCCTAAATATTGCTGAATATTTCAATCTATTGCCAACTATTGCCCATTACAACTAATGCTGCCTATTGCTAGCTGATCATTTTCTGATATTGCAGATAATGCAAACCTATGTCACAAGTATTGTTATGGAAATTTTGCTGAAAACTGTTCTCATCTTGAAATAAAGAGTAGTTTCCATAATAAAATTCTTTTCAAGGCACCAAAATATAAATCCAAACTTTTCTGAAAAATATCAGCAAGACAAAAAAACATTGATTTTTTCATATTGTTTTGTAAAATTGATTGTGATATAGGTATCTGGGATATGAATATAGGTAATTATAAAACTTACACAGTTGCATATGCAGCCAGTATCCAATTCAATAATAAACTGGAGCAGACATCCACATGTGCTTGCTGGGTAGGAGGAGCTCTTTTATTTAAACTATGGTAAAGTGAACACAATAAAGTTTCCAGGCGAGCAACACTCAACTCTTGAGATGGCTCTAAGGCATGCAGACCTTGTTCTCGAAAGGCTTCTATTACATTCCAGATATCCACAGCATGTACTAAAAATGAATATATTATAAAAACCAGTATGATATAAAATGGGATATGGATTCTAGTAGCTGAATATATTGATCATTCAAATTAATTTAGATAACTTACAGCTGACTTTTTTCTGTATGAATCTCAATTTGGTAGCAGTTCTATATGAAGCAAATCGAATCAAATCAAAATTATGAGCACTCATCTCATGTATGAGAGCTAATCTATGGTCGGAAGACCCAGAAAGACCCTCTTGACTCTGCATATCTGGAAAAAGTAACCATAGTACAAAATGCATAATAGTAGAATAATAAAATTACAGGACTGTGGTTAGAGAGAAGAAATAAATTAATAGATATATGAATGACAACAGTTTTAGATCTACACTTTTTCTGAAGTTATCCTACTACCTTGTCCTACTACTATTCCACTACCAATACTACCATAGCCAAACCCAAGTCCCGAACCTAAACTCCAGTATTTTTATATGGGGCATAAATCAGAAGTGCCCATTGAAAACTGGAAGCAGGAACCAGGAATAGTACTTTCCAAAATTGAATAGAAAACCAGTAAACAGATTCATAAATAATAACACAAACTCACTGCCGCTGTTTGTTTTTCATCGAGTTCCAGTCATAATTGTTTATATTTTCCTTATTTTTTCATGCACTTGATGAGAGAATTAAAACTTGGAAGAAATAAATGTTCACTGACAGTACTGACACTACTGACAGTAGGGTAGGAGTGGGACAGGTCGGGTCGGACATGGGACAGGACTTGGGACTTGGGAGTCTTGGGACAGAGACAGGACAGACAGACAGAGCACGCCAAGTCTGAGCCGTCTGTCACTGACTTAACACTTGACTGACTTCACTCTGCTGTAGGGATGCCATCTTTATTTTTTGGTGCAATTTCCAATTTCCCCAGTGGAAATTTCGAGTATTCGCGATAGAAAATAACACGTCGCCTCACCTGACGGCAACATTTCAACATTTCTGAGCGATTTGTTTGGATGGATGTGACATGTGACATGTGGCCAATAAGCAGAAAGAACAAACAAATGTGAACCAATAGGCGATTCATGCTAAGGAGTACTCCCTCTACCGTTGTCTAATATAACTAACGTATGGGCCATTGATTGTTTTGTTTACATTAGTTTCAGTGCTGCCAATGTGCGGAGGATCCTCCGAAAAGGGGTTGTTTTTGGCGTTAGAGGTTTTTTTGGAGGAGGATTCACTAAAAGCGGAGGAAAGGGGTTTTTTCAGCCATCACTGTAATTTTGTTACCCAACTTTAGTTGGGGCTTGCGCGAGCAACCTCTGACCATGATTTCCATGATCATGATCGAACCCTCCGTGAGTCTATGAAATCGGAGTCTGTGTTCTTGTTCTGTGCTTCTGTTGTGGTAACATGAATAAATAAACGTCGGTTTTAGTTTTGTGGTCGGTGTCAATGTCAATGTTGTGAATGATGTCATAAATCTCTTTCACATCGTCACAACACAACCAATAACATTAAAAAAATAATGATATCAAATAAAAATAACAGATTTTATGAATATTTCCAGTTGTATTTTCATTACTCATTGGCTCATTGGCATCATATCTCTCGCTAAATACGGATTCGGTAAGGTAAATCTACTGAAAAAATGTATATGCTCAAAACCAGTGTTTGGAAAAATACGTAATTCAATGAAAACTTTTAATAAAAAAATAAATGTGTAGTTTGTTTATTTTGTTTTTTCTTTGCTTTTTTTCACATATATATGATTGTTCGAAAATAAATAATGTCATTCATCAATATCTATATGATTGTTCGAAAATAAATAATTTAATTTATCAATCATGTTTTTCATTCAAGATTCAAAATGTGAAGAAAACATTAGAAAATAGCATTTTATCCACAGAACATAGAAAACACCAGATACCAGAAGAGCCCACAATTTCACAGATTCATTTGTTTCACGCATCTCACAGAATACTTTTCGACGAGAATGACTTATTGAACATTCATTTGACGTCAGATTCCGTTTTATTCCATACCTTTTATAACCGTGTCGAGAAGAGGAGGTTTTCGTTCATTTGCGGAGGATTTCACGTGCTAAAGAGAAGGAAGGGCTCGAATTGAATTGGCAACACTGATTAGTTTGCGTGTATTTTGTATAAGAAGTAGTTGTGTTTTAATTGTCTATTATTTTGTTTGTAAACTTCTTTAAACGTTTAAAAACATGAGTCATTATTGTTGTGTACCTGATTGTTCACCTTGAGCAAAAAAATCCCGAGTATAGCTTTCAATCCTTTAAATAATCAGGACAGTCTAAATTAGCATTTGAAACTAATAATTTGGGAAATAAGGAAGTGATCGGTAGGAGAAAGGTGTGGATTCATAACTTGAAGATTGGAAAAAGTGTCTGAACATAATGAGAGATTGTTTTTTACACTTCACTGAAAATGTACTTATATATATTCCCAAATGTATGTCTATTATGAATATAATACCTACTTCTTGGGGTGATGGTAAAAAAACAAACAAATTTTAAACTGATTATATCTTTACTCATGAACAGTAGAATTTTTAAACAGTAAAGAATTTTATCAATCAGGGTTTTGATGATTATGTTGTAAAAAGTCAAGTAGAAACTGTATACCTAAATTCACCTTCAAAAGAACATTTTATTCTCAAAAAGTATGCTGGATTTTCTTTTAAAAATATCATGCTATCAGGGGAATATCCCAGCCATATATTCGAATTGGAAATCAACATCCCACACAGGTTTTCATGAGAATTATTGTTCAATAATGATAAAAACTTACAGCTTATGTATGTTGGTATATATGAAGTTCAACTAGAGGTAGGGACGTTATCTAATGTTGAACAGAGATAATATAGTGCTCAATCAAAACACAATAGACCGCTGGAAAATACAAAGTTCGAAAATTGACAAATAACAAAGCTGAACGGTCGAAAACTCAAAACGAAATGAACATAAACACCATTACCAAACAATGTAAACAATCCGCCAATGGCCCATAGAGTAGTACCGACATTCACCGTTCTGGCGCTACGATCTTAATCTCAGTCGCCTATAACCAATGAAAACAGAGTAAACATGCCGCTTTGACAGCTTCCAAATACTCCAATAGATGGCGTACGCTTATTTCATCCTGTCTTTTTGACATTTCTGACTTTTTACTACCTGTGACTCTGTGACTAATGACAGAAACCATACAGAAATGACACTAATGACATGACAGAAGACAGAAACCGAAATATGAAATGCATAAATATAGAAGAAAATAATTTATGAATTATCTCATTTATTATTTATGTTACGATCTCCGGGCTAGTCGAAGTCGATTGTAATGTTACAATAATTATCAAACCTCGTTTATCGTATGAAACAGTGAAAATTCAGAATCAATAAATAGTCAATTGATTCTAAACGGTGCGATCTCATCAGACAAGTGTGAAATTGTTGTATATTTGAATATATTGTGTAGGGGATGAGGGGTGAGTATACTTATTCTTATAATCCATTTATATCATTTATCATTTCCAATATGGTCTTGGTCCTACAGCCTTTTGGCCTGGCATAGGCATGGTCTGGTTATCTCCCAAAAAGGTAGGTAGTAGGTACCTGTCCTATATCTGGACCTATTTATTATACAGGTGATTCAAAATTCGATGTAAATATTTTAAGGACATATTGTTGGTATCAAAATGAGACTTTTTATTCATATAAACATGTGTCATAAAATGCACCCCTTTTCTTCCAATAAAAGAGAGGACCCCTCCCCCACAAAACTGGGTTTACGTAGTTTTTGAAGAAAGAAAGTGTCTAAAAGGAAAGAGGCCCGGCAATTTTCAGCAGATTTGATCTGTGTTATTTCAGTCACAAATTCAGAATATCTTTTTTTTTTGCCTAACTTACAGTGTCCTTAGCTTGGAGGGGATGAATTTTAGGACTCATGTTTATATGAAGAAAAAGTCTTATTTTGATCACAACAATATGTCCTTAAAATATTTACAGCGAATTTTGAATCACCCTGTATTATTATACTAATGAAGAAAAATTGAAATTGTTTCTACTCTCCACAACTTTGAATCTTGAATTTGGGAGAACCTGCATGCCAGCAATAAAAGAGATGGAAACACAGCAATTTTGAATGAGTAATAACCTGGGTAATAAGGAAATATAGGCTCAATTTACAGGGTGTCCTGTAACTAGTGTAAATGACTCTACCAGTGAATTCAATGGCAGCAACTCAGGCCGAAAATATGATTGAAACTTTTTAATATGAACATACCCTAGCAAATGATCTCTAAGGGAGCTAAGCCCTTGTAAAACGCTTTGAAAATATGTTTTCTCATGATCATTACCTAAATGAAAGTAATTTTTGAAAATCTTAGTGTTTGTGAATCAGTGTGAAACCAGCCATGAATTCCAGCCATGACTTCACCTGATATTCCAGGCGTGCACCATACCACCAATGGTCCTTCAATATTAATTTATATTCATGGCTGGCCAATGGCCATGAAATTACTGAAACCTCCAAAATATTCCTCGGATGGTCCTTAATAATCTGTATATCTCACAATAATTTGTCAGTCAAGAATTAACTTCACTGGACCCTCTTTCAGAATTTTGAAAGAAAATCATAACTTTTTCAAAATACATGTAGATGGTAGTTTTTTTTCTATGAATGTATTCCTCTGATGGTGGTTATATCACAATATTTTGTCGGGCATGAATTAACCCCACAGGCCACATCACGTGGATGGTAGTTTTATTCTATGAATGTGTTCTTCTAATGGTACTTGATAATGTGTATATCTCACAATATTTTGTCGGGCAAGAATTAACCCCATAGGCCCCCATTTTTTGAATTTTGAAAAAAAAACTTTTTCAAAATACACGTGGATGGGAGTTTTTTTCTATGAATGTGTTTCTCTAATGGTACTTGATAATGTGGTTATATCACAATATTTTGTCGGGCAAGAATTAATCCCACAGGCCCCATTTTTTGGAATTTCGACAAAATATTGTGAAATATATACATCATTAAGTACCATTAGAGGAACACATTTATAGAATAAAACTCCAATCCTCATGTATTTTGAAAAAGTTATGATTTTCATTCAGAATTCGAAATAGAAGTGCCTGTGGGGTTATTCTTGCCCGACAAATTATTGTGAGATATTCAAATTATCAAGTACCATGAAAGGAACACATTCATAGAAAAAAACTTCCATCCACATGTATTTT